CCCCCCGTTAAGGTGCACCTCTAGCAGACACACACACACACCCCGCAATGTGCTGCACCACCCCCCATACCAACATCCCTGGACACATTCTGTGGAAAAGTGTCAGATCTTTATTGTAGCTGCACAGAATGATCACACTTTTTTATCTCATCTTCTTTATGCTTGCAATCTATTACCCCATGCAGTATTGGCCTGCAGACTGAATCAGAGGCCAGGACTGACCCAGTTTAATTTTCTGATCACCCCCATGCCTAGCCATCATCCTTTCCCACAACTTTAAACCATTAAATACAAACCATTAAACAAAAGGAAACGTTTGTTTGGTCCATTTGTGGCGTAGATATTCACTGAAAGTGCCAATATTAGGAGTGTTCTTCTCTAGGTGCAATTATTTAAGATGATTGAGCAGAAGTGCTTTTTCTATATTTCAGGGATTCTCAAGTGATAATCATGATATGAAAAATGCTGTAAATGATGAGGTAAATGTCATTGTCTAACATCACAATTCTGTTATCAGGGAGATGATGGTCCCCCAGGCAATGGCACTGATGGATTCCAAGGATTCCAAGTAAGTTTTTAAACCCCTGAGAAGGTAATCATAACCAGAGACTATGTAGGTTTACATCAAAGACAGGGTCTTAGAAAAAACCTTTATAATATCTACTAATTCATATTTGATGGCTTATATTTGACATTACCTGCAACTCTGAGTTCACTAAAAAAATATTTAGTGGGTGTTGAGAAACAGGCTCAACATGACTGCTGAAATTACACGTAAGGTATGTACCTTGGGTTTCCAATTACCGACAAACAGACCAAGTGGTACACACAGGGTTGCAGGTTTGGCACAAAAAAACCCAACTTTTAATATGTATTTATATAATATAAATTTGTGACTGACACTATTGTCTGCTTCAGGGGTACCCCGGAGGTAGAGGCAATCGAGGAACTAATGTAAGTCAATAATCATACCCAAGGACACAAATTATTCAGAAGACAATTGACATCAGACCAGCCTCAAAATGTTATTTATTTCATTTTCTGAAGGGAACAAAGGGATATCCTGGACCGAAAGGAGATGAAGGAGAGTCTGGCGATCCTGGTGATGATGTGAGCATGATAGACAATGTTCATTAAGACTTTTCTTTCTTTGGAATGATGCAGCCTATTCATTATAAACATATAGGATTGTTTTGAGATTATTTTGGGAATCTGAGATCTGAACACAACCCTAGATGACTGTGTATTGTTTGTGCACATTGATACAACTAAGGGCAGACTGATAGTCTAAGTCTGCAGCTATTGATCTGATCTGTCATTTTTCATCTACAAGATATCTTGTTGTTCCATGGATCTCTAATGCTGGACCTCTTTTAATTTGGCCATTAGCATAGAATTATATGTTGGTGCTTTGGAATGGCTTTGTGTTATTAACAGGTTGCAATAAAGGCCTTTGTACCAACAACTTAATAATGGAAAACCAAGTATCTTAGATTTATGAGATTTTTGGAAAATAATTGACTACTATGGTCCATTATAGGTTTTCCATAGACCCTAACAGTACAGTTACTGAGCCTCAAAACAGCTTGTCATCAACAATACCAAATGTAGTTTTGTTTTAACCTTATAGATGCCCTCATTTTACTGAATATCATGACGCTTTATTTCTCTCCACACTGCCCACTATTCCGCTCATTGTTCTTAGAGGATAGGAATTAGTGAAAATGTGCCAAGTAAACATATTGAATAAGGGGGATTACTCAAACCATATATTAAACATCTGATTTACTATCTACTTTATAACAATGCTTGATAGTCAATAATTATTTAAATTAATAATATTTGTTAAATGTGTCATATTTCAGAGTCCAGATAAAGGGCCTGATGGACCCAATGGAGCAAAGGGTTACAGAGGGCCAGAAGGACCACCGGTGAGTGTAATGGCATAAATATAGCAAATATAACAGAAAACAATGTGCACTCATATTATTGTATTTTGGAATACTATTAGGATGCAAATTACTGTTATTTTTTTGCTTCCAGTAACACTGTTCGGCTGAGTACCTATACAGTTTGTATCCTAGTATAGACCTGTATTAATGGGTTTTCTTTCACATTAGAACAGCTTCTCCCCATACAAAAATATAGGAATGCAAAAGTAACTTGAAGCAGGTTGATGCAGATTAGAAGAAGGTCAACTGTAAGTCAATTGAACCTGCCACTGAACTCTGAGTGATCTTAGAAGCATCTCAAACTATTTTAAATGCAAGCTGAATGCTCATGAAAGCTGCATTTGCCTATTGACACAAACGCTAATACTCTATATACTTAGCCATCGATTGAAGGCATTATATGTTTACAGTTTATGGTATACTTCAATGTGTTTGCTGACAATGAAGAATTAGCGTTTTCTATTTGTAGAATAGTTTTTTTCTTTAAGGTACAGCATGCAGGCTCTTATACAGTATTCATAACAATCAATGGTAGAGTTGGAGTTAAAAAAAAAAACTGTATTCTGTCCATATTTATCAAGTCAACACAGTCGTATACCAAGTGCACTTTCAGACTGCCTGACGTCATGTTCAGATGCTGCTTACAACCCTTTAAAAAGAGTGTCTGGAGAACTTCTAAACATGGATATGTTCAGCATACAAATGCCAAGGAGCAGTGCTAATATCTTTAACTGTTCTCCTATGAGAGATTACTGGCAGTTTAACTGCCTCCTATAATGTAATATTGTTCAGCACTCTCTGGCTGAAATAGTTTGTGCTCTAATCTTGTTCACTATATTTTCTCTTTGAACATCTTTCCTTCTAGGGACCTCCAGGACCTCCAGGCCCACCAGGTCCAGATGTGAGTCATATTTTATACTTGCTGGCATTGTGCCTGGTTGCCATATTCTACCCCTTTCAATGCATTTATGTAGCCATTTATGTGTGGTTGTGATAACAAATTACTGGAGACTTCTATATATTCATGCCAGACTCTAAGCTACTAGTTATAGCAACCCAACTTTTGGTCATCGTTAGATGCCCTGTCTGCCAGTCCCTGGCACTGAATGATTCCATACAGAAATACGCGGCTATATGAAACATTTATTCCTAGTGACTCATTCTTTGTCTAAAAGAGGAGTTTGGATGGTGTCCATTACTAGAGAGTTTTACCGTTTAAAGTCTGATTTACACATTTACTTAGAAAGTAAACTAAACTTCATCATGTGTATTCGCAGGAGTGTGAAATTCTGGACATTATCATGAAGATGTGCTGTAAGTACTAACCCAATTATCTTTACTAGTCTGTGTTAGAGAGGTTCCAAGCAAATAACATCATCTGCATAA